TGCTGGCGGGTGCGGGCGTCTGGGGTACTTTTCTGCTGGGAGTTGCTTTTAGGCACGTAATCTGTGGGCCTTATTTAATTTTTCCTCCCAGTTAGATTGCCGAAAACTTCCCCCAGTCCCGCCAGTGCGAGGGTTTCCTGGTGATTGGAAACTTCCTCTATTAAGACTCCCTTCCCGGGACGGGTGACCGTCCGTAGCTCTTTTGTCTCCCTTTTTATCTTTTAAATTTTGTCCTACCTCCCTTTGAAGACAATGGGCTGCTTTTCTGGGCGCCTGATGTCCTCTGCTAGCGATCTGAAGTTGTTTTGTGAGATTTGCTCAGCGTTCAAATGTTCTTTCGATGAATTTGTAGGAGAGAAAGTGGTCTCTCCGTCCTATTCCTCCGCCATCTTGGCTCCTCCCCTCCCTTTTTTTCTGGAAGCAATAACCCACTTCTTCTGGAAGCTACACCTATCCACTCCACCCTTAAACTCAGACAGTTACATTAATATTTGCAGTGTTTTGACATATTCATATTTCCTGACCCTTTTGTAGTCCACCAAATATGTGCTAATCTCCTGCGGCTTTTGACCTCAAGCATATTGGTTCAGTAGTGGGATACTTCCCTGTCATTTCTGTGCTCAAGCTTTGTGAACCTAATCCATGAAGAAAAGTAGTCATACTGTTTTGACTAGGCCCTCCTTATGCAGATCCCTTCATGCTCATGTTTTTTATATATCAGTGTTCCAAGTCCAAAAATTTCCATAGATCAGGTAGTACTATAGCATTTACTATTGAAAAAAAAGCACGAATAAGTGAACCCACATAGTTCAAATCCATATTGGTGAAAGGCCAATGTTGCATATGTATATTTGTGCATACATTTAAATATATATATATATATTTCTGGATTCAAGTACTTTATGATATGATTTAGAAGGTATAGCACTGCTACCAAATATAGTTTTAAAATGTGTTAATATTTGCAGTGTCATGAGAAAATAGGTTATCCATTCATTTCACTAGTGATTTTAATGAAGTTTAATACAAATTGTCATTTATCACTTTATTTGTTATTTAAGACTACACTTTAAAGATGTATACCATAGCTGTGATCCACTGTAGACATAAACAAAATACTGTCTAAATTGTTTTTGATGGAATATCAGTTCCTGCATTTGTGAACATGTCCTGATAGCATTGCTCTTTCCTTCCTGATTCCGATGGCATCAGTGACTGAGAATGTGCATGCATTCTCTTCTTTTTCTCTGCCCATGCTGCGTGAACATTACACATTTCCTTCCACTTTTGAATATAAAGGAAAAATAGCATTTAAATGTGCTTTTCCATTATTTTTTGCTATGGATCTTTAAATAATTTTGAAACAGGAAGTCTCACTCTTCTGAAATCTGTTTCCTATAGACTGTAAATGTGTTGATTTATCACTTAAAGTCACTTTTCTGTGAAACTCCCTAAGTTGATGGAGAAAAATTGGTGCAAACAACTGGCTATAATGTTAAGACATTTCTTTTTTCAACAGGTCTGTCTGCAATCTCATAGAAAATCTGGTTAGGAAATTGTGTAAAAACAGAAATATATTTTAAAGGAAACAAAGATCAACATTTGGAAATGTTTCTTTTTTGAACATGGTAGTAAAGGGAAAGAGGAATCAGAAATTGAAAGTTGTATTCATGAAATGATAGAAAAATTCAAATAAAATTAGTTCTGACTCAGAAAAGAATAGTTATGAAAAAGATGTGGCCAATAGAATTGCATATGAAAATGGATCTTAATACATACTTAGTCATGTTGGTTAGCATCACCCATGTCTCAATTATTGCTATTTAAGTGTGTATTTTCAAGACTGAAATATCACCTGTGTATTTCAATATTAGCTATATGCACTGAATGTATGTGTGTCTACAATATTGAATGCTAATACACATGTTTTAAATATGACTTATGGAATTTGTGAAGAGATGTATGAGAATACACATTACATGTCATAGAATGTCATAAATGTCAAAGTTATACTTATGATTCCTACCAAATTGTATATAAATCCACATCAACTCTCTATTTATTAGGTATATCTATGTTTTATATTTCAGAGATGATTAACATAATGAAGAAAGAACAGATTTGGGGGGTTTCTGTATGTCTGCTGCTTAGCTGTGCTTCTGCCCTTCTCAATGATGTTCCTGAGGAAGGTGAAGAATATACAAACATTACAGGTAAAGTGTTAGAAGCATTCATCCTTTTAATCCAAAAATGAATATATTTTTCTTCATCTTGAAGAAAAAGAAGTGTTACTGAAATGATATTTGTTCAAAGTCTTAGTACAAAAAAAGTCACTTTCGGGAAGAAGATCTCTCATTTCTCAGATTGTATATGAAAACCTGAAGTATCTCTGGAAAATTGCAAGTAAAAAAAAAGATATAGATATAGCTCTCTACGAACCTTGATGTCACCTTTTGACATCAAGAAAGATGTAAGAAGGGGAAAGTGTAAGAAGGAAAAGGAAATGGCAGACATTGAAGGATTCAGTTTTCCTCTCTTCTCACCTTTATATTCCTCAAACAAGAACTTCTCATATGAGTCCAATGTGAGAATACAGTCAAGCTGCATACCAGGAGATGGGGATAACAGAAGATAGTTCTACTGCCATAAAGTTCTGTGCTTAAAAATAAAATACAGTTGACTCTTGAGCAATGCAGGAGCTGGTGCACCCTCAGTGAAGTACAGCATCCACGTGTAACTTATACTCAGTCGCATCCTATCCATACGTGAAAAGTAAAGGCTTATTGTTATATGCCACTAGAAAAAAATATATTGTTGGGAAAATTTCCTAAAGATGGAATGTTATTTGATAAAGTTAAAAACCATTTTGTGTCTTATCAAACTAGGAATGTTGTCACTATGAGATGAGATCTAATCCTTCATTGTGCTCATTTCTCAAAAAAGGGATGGCTAAAATTTTAATATTCCGGAGGTAGGTAGAGAAGGAACACGGAGATTAAAGTAAATCCCAATAAGAGAAAAGCAGACAATCCCATTTTAGGAAGTGGGAGGAGAAAGAGTCCACGTGTTCCCAGTATTCACCTAGTCTAAGAAGTTCTCTCAATTAGGTTGAGAAAGTGCATGCCAGTTAATCAGGAGGTTCCTGAAGTTGTTGCTACTGCCACAGTCAGCCAAGAAAACAGAATTAACCCACCAATGATTAAATCCAAGTTTAAAATCTCTGGGTAAATCCAGACCAAATCCAGCTGGATAAGGATAAATCTTGATTGTAAAGCCAGATGTGAAGACCACTTAGCTGACTGGCTGCACAGACTTATGCAGTTTGTTTGTTTGTTTGTTTGTTTTTCAATTAATCTTGTGTCAGCATGATCCTTTGTCTGTCTCAGGGCTTCCCTGGTAGCTCAGCTGGTAAAGAATCCACCTGCAATGCAGGAGACCCTGCTTCGATTCCTGGGTCAGGAAGATCCCCTGGAGAAGGGACAGGCTACCCACTCCAGTATTCTTGGTCTCCCCTGGTAGCTCAGCTGGTAAAGAATCTGCCTGCAATGCAGGAGACCCTGGTTCGATTCCTGGGTCAGGAAGATCCCCTGGAGAAGGGATAGGATACCCACTCCAATATTCTTGGGCTTCCCTGTTGGCTCAGATGGTAAAGAATCTGTCTGCAGTGTGGGAGACCTGGGTTCAATCCCTGGGCTGGGAAGATCCCCTGGAGGAGGGCATGGCAACCCACACCAGTATTCTTTCCTGGAGAATCCCCAGGGACAGAGGAGCCTGCGGGGCTAGAGTCCGTGGGGTCCCAAAGAGTCAGACACAACTGAGTGATTAAGCACAGTGTCTGTCTCAATTCAATTTTGGAGATATCATCTTTTACATTATGGCATGGTCACACCATCATGTTATAGAAGTTCAGTGAAATAATCTACTAGTATTTTATTGAAAAACATACGAGATTTTATGGCTTCTGTCATAAGTCAATAGTAGACATTTTAAAATTAAGTCAACCAGCAGGGAGGATGAAATAGAGAAACTTCTTGATAAAACAAAAATGACAAAAAAAATTGTGGTGAAAATTTTCTTAAAAAACATTCCTTTGGACTAGGAGAGACAAAATTATCAGGGAACATTTAGAGAAAAGCAAGTATATTTCATAACATTTAGAATCAGATGGGCCTAAATATGCATTTGTAGTTTGTCACATGGCAGCTTTGCAAAATTAGATGAGTTGATATCAACTCTCTGACTCCCAGTGTCCTAATCTATAAATAAGTGATGTAAATAACTACATTCAGATGGTTGTTATATAAATTGCATAAAAGCATCTGGCACATTTCCTAGCACAGAGACGGCAGAGTGCATGTCTGTGTTCTATCTTTCCAGAGAAACCAGTCTTTTAGTGAGAGAGTCAAGTAGCATGTAGACTCCCAGGCAGTAAGTTACCTTAAAGTTCTAGGTTTCCAAACAAATTCCAGGAGGAGGAGGATTCTACCAACCAAGGACTTAACACATCCCCAAACATTATCCTGAGCCTTCCCTTCAATATCCCAGGATAGGGGGAAGGAAGAGTGAAATTGTAATCCTCAGACTGTGAAAAATAAAATACAAGAAATTAACTATGAAAATGATTAAATATGAACCATAACTCTGTTTATTTCAATACATCAGATTAAATTCCTGTTACATTGCCCTGTATGTGTTTTCTAGTTGTATGGCCTTAGGCAGATCCTTGTCACAGTCAATGATTTCTTCAAGTCTCAGGAAGGAAAGTTACCCCTGACCCACTCAGAGAAGCTTAAGTATCTTATTAAACATGGTCACAGCATCTTGAAGTTCTTTAATATTTATATAAGTAAGTCTGAGTGTCTCCATGCGCCATGAAGTCAGGGTGTGGGGTGGAGGTTACTGACACTTAATTTTCTATCACATCTGCCATGACAGTACAGTGCTTGACATACACGATCAGCGATCAGCACACAGATGTTAACTTTTGAAAAGGTTTATCTAAAATAAAAAGTGAAAACAAGACAGACTTTCATCCAATTTTAGTGGTGGCATGGCTTTAGTGTTTAAAGGGGCCATGTGATCACTCCCCTAATCAGGAATGATGTTGCCCATGTGGGAGGTCACAAGCTCACAGCACAAAAGAATAAAGAATATTCTAATGCAGGGTTTCTGTAAGAAATACCATAAAATGTGAACGGCAAAAATGAATTATTAGATCATAATTAGTAAAGTATGTTTATCAAATAATAATTGACTAGCACTAATAATTCTTAGTGCTTTCTTTAGGAAATTGCTATAAAATCATTACCTGCTCTCATCATTGAAACTTTTTACAATGTTATGTGGCAGCCTGGAAGGGAGGGAAGTTTGGGAGAGAATGGATACATGTGTATGTATAGGTTGAGTCCCTCTGCTGTGCACCTAAAACTCTCAGAACATTGCTAATTGGCCATGTCCCAATACAAAATACAATTTTTTTAGAAAAAGGAAAAACAAACAAAAAAAAAACTATTCTAATTTTTATAAAGTAAAATTTAGAAAAACTTATTCAGTAGAAATTGTAAAAGTCAATCTATGTTCTTGTCTAAATGTCAATTAAGGAATCTCAGTCACACAGATCTGTGACTGTATCCCTCAGTTATTAAGAAGGTGTGAGATGTCTGATATAAAATTATCTGGGGGTCAGATCTAAAGCCATCACTTAAAGTGTGAACTGAGAATTTACTTTTTGCAGTATTATTTTATAATTTGCAAAGTGGAGATAAAAAATGCCTAATTCACATGATTAAATAACATAACTGCAAAATGTGTGGCGCACAGCAGTTTCCGTAGACCGTTGGCCGTCTTCACTTTCGCGTCTGCAGGCAATTCCTTTCTGTGTTTTGGTGCGCTGGCGCCACCTGGTGACATGATTACTACATAGCAGGGTGAAAATACGCTGTTATTTCTATCCTTGAAACATAAAATGCAAAACAAAAATTTGGCATGATGATAAAGAATATCAAATAAATGAAAAGTCAAAAACATTGGCAATTATTAAGGATAAAAACCTGATAAAAGTTATTATAAGAAATAGTTTCCCTACATATACAGCATATGGCAACTCAGGTAATGCTTTCCACATTCCACAGGTGTCCTCACTAAAGGTGCTTGTCTGAAGCACTGCTGCAATGATTTGGCGTCTGTAAAGGTCCACAACACCTGTAACTTGGGAATCAGGACCATCATGTTATATGAGAAGTGCCCTGCTGTGTTGTGCGGTGCTCCGTCACTCGGTTGTGTCCGACTCTTTGTTACCCCATGGGTATAGCCCGCCAGGCTCCTCCATCCATGGGGATTCTCCAGGGGAGAATACTGGAGTGGGTTGCCATGCCCTCCTTCAGGAAATCTTCCCAACCCAGGGATCGAACCCGCATTGCAGGCAGATTCTTTACCAGCTGAGCTACCAGGGAAGGCCAAGAATACTGGAGTGGGTAGCCTATCACTTCTCCAGGGGATCTTCCTGACCCGGGACTCAAACCAGGACCTCTTGCATTGCAGGCGGATTCTTTTCCAACTGAGCTACCAAGGAAGCCCTAGGAATCTCTGAAATAATGGAGTGTACTTATACAATTCAAAAATGTCAGAATATTTGTATTCTAGCTCATTTCTCAAAATTATTGACATGACTTCTGGGATTCTGAGATCTGATCATAAGATCAGATATTTATAAAACTGATAAGTCAAAATTTGATCAGCCCTATCTAGAGTAGATAAACCTAAAATGATAATTCAGTGACACATGGTGAGCCATTTCTCAGTCAGATGTACCACATAGTGTCTTTGTTGCAAAGCCTTCTAAATTCTCACAACTTTCTAACAACTTGGAATGTCAAGTATAAAAGTAACAATCTTTAAGTAAATATAGGAATACAAATAGCATTCACAATTATGCAAAAATGTATTACTCAGAAAATGCTTTCATTTATTTTGAATTTGAATTGACAATTGTAACTTCAGTGATAAAGGGAAACTATATATTTTTCATAAGTCATTTTTTGTTTATATACAGTTATATATAATACTCTAAAATGCTATTATATATTAATTTCTATAGAAAGAAGTTCTTGAGTGTATAGTGTAAAAGCGAAAGTCGCTCAGCCGTGCCCGACTCTTTGTGACCCCATGGACTATACAGTCCACGGAATTCTCCAGGCCAGAATACTGGAGTGGATAACCTTTCCCTTCTCCAGGGGATCTTTACAACCAGGAATTAAACCTAGGTCTCCCACATTGCAGGCAGATTCTTTACCAGCTGAGCCACAAGGGAAGCCCAAGAATACTGGAGTGGGTAGCCTATCCCTTCTCCAGGGGATCTTCCCGACCCAGGAATCGAACCGGGGTCTCCTGCATTGCAGGTGGATTCTTTACCAACTGAGTTACCGGGGAAACCCTTGTGTGTTTACTTTAAGAAAATAAATTACTTGGAATTTGTAGTAAATTACATAAATTTTCACAATTAGGGAATAGTTTAATGTAGTAAGATATATACACGTAAATATGAACATAGATACCCTGTTAATTTTTTTCATAAGGCTTGGTTGGAGTCATGTACCAGACCTAATATTGTTGCTTTTAAAGATTTGTTTTATATGTAAAAAATGATGCAACTATTGATTAGGGAGACATCTCTATGACTCAATTACATATGGTCAACTGGTACAAGTTTAAGCAAAACAAGAATCTATTAAAAATTTCAACATTTTCCCCTAATAGTTGGTTAATAACCAACAGTTTAATAAAGTTGGTAAGACCTGTCTCATTTGGTGAGTTTATGTATTTATCTACCTTTTGGATAACTTTCATAGTTTCTTATTGCAGTCTGTTTTATTATTGTTGTACTTTTCCTCAAAATTAAAATGTATTAAAAAGGAAGTGAAAAGGAAGCAGCATTATTACAGTGTTGATGAAGGATAATATGTTACCTTTTATTTTTACCTTGTAGATGCTGAGATGCCCCCATTGAAACTTGTACATTCATTTTGTGCAATGAGAGCAGACGATGGCCCATGCAAAGCAATGATAATGAGATTTTTCTTCAATATTCATACTCAGCAATGTGAAGAATTTATATATGGAGGATGTGAAGGAAATCAGAATCGATTTGAAACTCTGGAAGAGTGCAAACAAAAATGTACAAGAGGTAGGCTTTTGGAGACACTATCATCCAGAAACCTTTCAGGTTATTAGATCTAATTATAGATTTGATAATGTTAGAAAAAAGTTAACATTTTAACTTTTTAATGTATTTTAACATTACAAGGAATCTTTTTTTTTATTTTTTATGTTTTCAGCTTTAACAATTACTCTTTTTTCATTTTTTGTATCAATTATTATAAAATACATTAAGCTTATTGTCCTATACACTTCTCCATGATGAAGAGGGAAGCCCTTAAGTGTGCAGAACAGATTTTATATCTACAACAAATTAACTGTAATTCCATCTCTTTAGGGAGCTATGAGTTCACAAGAAATAAATCATTATTCACAGTGATTTAGACTTTCCTTTTTCAACACTATGATGTCATAGTTGTTTCCGTGTCAAGATAATGAATTAATCCATCTTGAGTTTCTCAGTAGTTAGAAAATTATAGAAATATATATATATGCATATATATATATATATGAGTTAAATCCTTCTCTTTGGAACCTTGGAATAATGTAGAAAATATTATCTCCAGTGGCTTATGAAGACCTTACTGAACCTGACTTTTCTTATTTTACTAAGTTATAAGTTTGAAAAGCACATCACATTCTGTTATTAAACTTAATTTAATGCTTTTATTCTTTTCATTGTATTAAAACTTTTAAAATTCTACAAATTACAATGTTTTATGTGGCTTTCTCTCTTTAGACTAAAATAAATTCTAAATAATTGCTTGTTCAATTTTATGTCAGTTTTATTCTTCTGAATTGAGAGCTACTTGAGAGGTAGAAAATCCCAAGTTAGCCTTATTTCCATAGTTTCTAGCCCCAGATTTCCGCCTTGCACGTTTTTAGAGTTGAGTTACATTGTAAGTCTATAGATGGCCTCTTTAGTTAACACTGGTGTCTTGTTTTTTGCAAAGCAGGTGGCTTGGCATTTTCACACTGATAATGCTTTCCCAAACTGCTTTTACAAGACAGTCTTGGCATCGTGATGACCTTGGCTTGTGGGAAAAATCTCAGTGTGGTGAAAAGAAAGAGCTTTTCTCCCCTGCGATTGTTGTATGCCCCTGAGCTGACATAAAAGAAATGATGTGAATGTATTTCTTTATTTCAGAGCACTTATTTCCCTCCTCTTCTCCATAGATGTGCTGGAAATGTTACTAACACAGATTAGGCAGTTCGGTGTTTCTCTGTGGTACATTTGGTTTTGTGATTGCATGGTAATTTTCCATCCATCACAGATTTCTATACCTTGTCCTCTTCCATGCCATACCAAGTATCCTTTTGTATTGAGTGTCACTCAAGTTCAGTACCTTGGCTAAAGGTCAGGTTGCCTCATTCTTGGTAATCCTCACTTTCTCATGTAGCAGCCTACTTATTTTCATCAACTGGACTTTTTCCTGAAATACATATCTATTTAGCTTTTATCAAAAATCTCTTATTTCATTATTGTGACATTACCCTTTTTTTTCAGAAATTAATCAGATATAATCATTTTGTTCTTCAGTAGGTGTCCTGCTGTAATATTTTCTCAAATACCATTACTACCTAACATAGCTATATGTCTTTTGCCCCATCTCCTCATTATTTCCTCAAAAGTCATTGACATTATTGCTTGAATATCTGAGTATTTTATATAGTAAGCTACAGTTAAGAATATAGCTGACATACAGAAAAAGAATTACTAAACTTTAAAGAAATCACCTAAGGAGAAAATTCCTTACATCCATCAGCTATGATGGAGTAACTGGAGCTGAACTTCTCTCCTAATGTAAATAACTAAAAACTGGAGGAAGAAAAATGTATGAAGCAACTTTTTTACAGACAGTGATCAAAATGCAGTACATGACTGTGATCTCTGAGAGGAGGGAACAAGTGAGGTGAGGTGTCCATCTCTCCAGTGTTCTGCATGAAGGCACTTCTGCAAAAAAGGAAAGTGGCTGTCTGAGGAGGCCTTACAAATAGCTGTGAAAAGAAGGGAGGCAAAAGCAAAGGAGAAAAGGAAAGATATTTCCATCTGAATGCAGAGTTCCAAAGAATAGAAAGGAGAGATAAGAAAGCCTTCCTCAGTGATCAGTGCAAAGAAATAGAAGAAAACAATAGAATAGGAAAGACTAGAGATCTCTTCAAAAATTAGAGATATCAAGGGAATATTTCATGCAAAGATGGGCTCAATAAAGGACAGAAATGGTATGGACCTAACAGAAGCAAAAGATATTAAGAAGAGGTGGCAAGAACACACAGAAGAACTGTACAGAAAAGATCTTCATGACCCAGATAA